TTCCATACTGTTATTACACAAACATATATAAGCTTTAAACCTTCCAATACTGTACTTACACAAACATATATAAGCTTTAAACCTTCCATACTGTACTTCCACAAACATATACAAACTTTAAACCTTCCATACTGTACTTACACAAACATATACAAACTTTAAACCTTCCATACTGTACTTACACAAACATATATAAGCTTTAAACCTTCCACATTGTACTTCCACAAACATATACAAGCTTTAAACCTTTCATTATTACTTACACAACTATATATAAGTTTAAACTATATTTATACAAACATGTATAAGCTAAATGTATTGACACAAACATATACAAGTTTTAAATCATCCATACTATATTTGTACGTTTATACATGACTGAAACTGGAAAAGAAGAAATTGCTAAACCATAAAATATGCATTATTTTTTCAGGTTTAAAACACTTGTTTTAAGCCTCTTTAGGATGCAGTTATGACAACCATGGCTGCAAAATGACAAAAGATTCTCACTAATGATGATGCTCGTAAGATTGGTAAATTTATAAATTACTAACTAAAATAATGATTTAAACAGTTATAACCTAGAAGATTGCAGCTAAATGAATCACTGCCCTACTAATCACAATATAAGAATTCACTGAATCACGCTAATGTATATGACACAAAATGTTTATTAATATTTCACGAAAAAAAATCTAATCAAAAATATTCTTAAAATCCTGAAAATTGTTAAACTGAGAATTTATATTATTTTCAGCTAAAAAACATATATACACAAAGAAACTGATAAATAATTCTTCTAAAGTGCATGATGAAATATTCCAATAGTCAGGTCATCTTTATTTACTGAAACTTACTTTTATGTGATGTTATTTACTGTAATTGTAATGAACAATGTATAAAGTTTAAATGTATGCTTAAATATATTTGTTAATGTCAAGATATAACTACATACTGTACAGAAATACTAATTAAATTGATCCAGAGTTCATGAAATTATTTTAATGATAATTTCTAATCTCCACACCATACTTAAACAAATCAATTCATAAAACCTGAGAGTTGATCATAAAGAAATTATTATATTTTGATGATAACTCTGACGAAGAGAAAATCCACTAAACCAATTTCACGTATAAAACTTTGCAAAAGTTTAAGGTAATTGTCTTGGTTTGAAATATAAATGAAACTCCTACAGTGTTGTTTTGGTATTGAGAAAAAATCTTCCCAGCTACTTTCATTTGGGGTCATTCCATTCCAACTTTGATTTGCACTGTAACAGCAATAAATGTTCAACTGCTTCTTACGACTTTCACTGGTTGATGTCTCAATCTTATCTAAGTCAATCATTAAAATCTAAGACAATGAGTGGTTAAATGAGAAGAACAAAATATCTTGTTCTTACTATTCCTTTTGCTTCATTATTTTATTGTCATCTTTTGATTGGGTTTTAAGATTTTTGGATGACCTTTCTTTGTGACTGCATCCACAATGTTTGCTTTTCATGCAAACAACACACCTTCAAAAATTGCACTTGCAGTCAAGACTAGGGTAGATATGACTTTCTCACATTCTCCCAGTGTTTATTGACTACTTTTAACACTGAAAACAGGTCTTCTACACGTAAATTACTTTGAAAAGGCAATAGACTTGCACACAGATGTTGACACAAATGAGGAAGAGCTCATTTTCAAATGAATATTTCTCTACAAGAGATAAAATTATGAGACAACAGTTGTATCATTTGAAAGCTCTAATATCGTATTATCGTTGAAAGCCAATTTTAGTCATTTTTATTGTTCATCAGATATTACAATATTCAAAATTACCACTAATTTCTGAATGATTGACTACTTATTTTAGGGTTAAATATTTTTTAGATGTGAAGAAATTGTTGTTGTTCGTCCTTCGAAGTTCGAAGAAGACCATGACATCATTTGGTCTATCTGTGGATACGGAGATGGCTCAGGAGTCCTATCCGAGCCAGGAAGCCTCGACCACATTCCCGGCATATATGGCTTGGTGTCCCGTTCTGAGTCGACCGCACCCGATCCTTCCGAGCTGCACGATTCCCCTCGGCAACAAATCGACGTTTACATTCTGCTGTCACCAAGCCCTGCCGGACCTTCGTTCTCCAAAGAAATCTATCCTGGGCGAGCGACTCCCAGTTCACATGGTTGATGTCGAACTCTTGCAGGGATAGTTTTAAACAGTCTTTAAAAACGTTTCTTCTGTCCTCCAACCGACC